GCAAGATCACATTGTCACTCCTTAGATCCATAAGACCCTGGAAAAGTCATTATCTACGTTTTCTGGTCTTTTCCACTTCTGTTGCAGGAAGAGTCCCACCATGATTCACACAACAACAAATTTCCCCAATCTATGTAGATTACATTACTAGACAGCACCTCCTCCTTTCCAAATTAATGTCTTCTATGCTAGCTCACCTTCAATTTTACAAAATTTTCTGAAATATTTGACTTCGACACTTACATAAAGAAAATTTCCGGACAGTCCTACCTGACGTCAATCTGTCAGTTACTTAGTAAAGCAAGTTACCCCAATAAGCCTATTGGTTTTTGAATATCTCTAAGGTAGCCATTCTGAGGTATCAATTGTTTACACTTATCTAAAAGTTTACAGTTTATAAGCACTTTTGTGGTATCATTTAAAGATACTCAAATTAAAAACAACAACAACAACAAAAATAAAGATACTCAAATTTAGATTTAGACATACCTGAGTTAACATCTCCCTCCACCACATAACTAGCTATACAGTGATGGAGACATCATGAAACTCATCAATTTCTATTCCCCTGACTGGTAAAATGGTGACCACAAGGATAATATGTGAGAATATGAGGCAATAGAATTAAAAACATGTACGTTGAATGCCTCTCAAATCGTAGTCACTCAGTAATTGTAACTATAATTATATTTGCCATAATTGTTATGATAAATTTTGGCTTATCTCAAATGCTTAAAATTTGTTTTAAGGAGAATCTTTTTTCTATAAGAACATACCTCTTTCCCCCATACTGATGCTGGCTCTGCTTCTTTCAAGTGATGTCCAAGAGAATTGGCTTGCACTTTCATCAAAAGTATAAAACATTAGTACAACTGGAACTTGTTAGAGTCCAAGTCTGAGTTTACTTTGATACATTCTTACCAAAAGCTTACTTTAGCTATTCGGTTTTTTTTTTCTAAAGTAGTCTAATGGACAGATTATTAATCTTTCTATTTTTCAGGCTTTAGCATTATATTAAGATCACTCACTGGGAAGCATAGTACCTGGACCATATTTTATAAATTCCCCACAGAAATGCTTTCATTGAATTATGATTTAATGATCAATAATTTACAGTCTTCACTCAGCCATCTAAAAGTAGGATGCAAGCCACTTCCATCTGGTAAGTGCTTGCATTTCTTTGTCATATCATAGAAGATAATGCCTGCTGTCCATTCATTCACCTAGTCCACAATCCAGAGTAGTTTCATTCAACATCAAATTATTACTAAAGATGTATTCTGGGATAACTTACTGGGTTAGAAGAGAGAATTAGCACTGACAAAATCAGTACTGCGGTCCAGACTTTCTGTATATGGTCGGTCTGGTTTAATATGTATGACCTTGTGAGGTACCTAAAGGATTACAGAGTTTGCATATGAGGAAAGTATACCAAGCTATGTTATCAAAGTCTCACAGCTAGTAGGTGACGGAATAAGGAATCAAAGATTATTTTGCTATGTATGAGGTGATAACAGAAAAAAAAGAAAATTATATTTAGGCTATGTAATAAGAAGACTGGCTTGCAAATTGAATTTTGAGGTTTCAGTGGAAGGCATCCAAAAATGTTTTCATTAACAATAGCATCTTTGCAATAATTTTGAACCTCCCTTTAGGTCTACTTTTAAGAATAATATTCTTTACATATGCAAGCTTAATAATATTTGTTAGGAATTATGATGGATCCCTAAAAATATAAGATATTAAAAGTACTTTTATTATAATCTGAAAAAAATGTAAAAAAAAAAAGATTTTTTTTTTTTTTTAATTTTTTTTTTCAACGTTTTTTATTTATTTTTTGGGACAGAGAGAGACAGAGCATGAACGGGGGAGGGGCAGAGAGAGAGGGAGACACAGAATCGGAAACAGGCTCCAGGCTCCGAGCCATCAGCCCAGGGCCCGACGCGGGGCTCGAACTCGCGGGGCTCGAACTCACGGACCGCGAGATCGTGACCTGGCTGAAGTCGGACGCTTAACCGACTGCGCCACCCAGGCGCCCCTAAAAAAAAAAAAGATTTTGATTTTGTTAATTCAGTGCTGCATAGATTCAGTTTAGCTAATAGCCCAGACTTTTAGTTCATGTGATATTTTTAGGTTATGTAAAAATTCAATTCAACGATTTTAAGATTGAATAGTTCTAAAATTATAAGGCAGCAACCAAGCAATATTTGGACCCATTTAAATGATCCTACTCAACTGTCAACAAGTCCATGATTTCATATGGCTGGTTACGGGGAAGATTAATGTCCAAATCACCCTATTCCATTTTTTTACAGCTATTTAGAAAGTACCTTATTATTTTGAATCAAATCTATTCTGGCTTCATCTCAGTGATCCTAGTTCACCTTTTTTCTTTTTTTCTTTTTTTTTTTTTCCAAATAATAGTTAAATCTACTTTCTCTTCTATGTGAGAAACATTCAGATACTTGGAAACAATAACGTTACACTTGAGTCTTTTCTGCTTCAACTAACATATTCTCCATTCTTTTAACCGGTCTGTAGATGATGTGACTTGAGTCTAATCATCATTCTGACCCCGTCTGAAGACCCTTCAGTTTACATACAGGCCTTTTGGATGTGGTCATGGAATGCAGCAGAATAGAGAAAGACTGTCTCCTCCATCTTCCTTCAAAGCAGGCAAAGGTTATATTAGCATTTTTGGGCAGACACAAACCAGTATTGATTTATACTGCAATTACTATTAAGTAAACCCCCTTGGCAGTTTTCTCTGCTGCAAAAACACATCTACTGCACTTGTACAGATGGTTTGTTTTCATTCAAATTTCAAAACCTTACATGTATTCCTCCTGTGAATTATTCTATTAAATTTGGTCCATTACTAAGATATAAAATCTTATCACAAATAAAAATTTATATTTACTTCCCACCTATTGTGTGCCAGCCACTGTACTTGGCATTTTCACCCATATAATTCTATTTATCCTTATTTAACCTGAAAAGGAATCCCAATTTTGTGACTGACAGATTCAAGATTATCAAGTAATTTTACTGAGACTGCTAAGAATATTAGTAACAGAATTTAGTATTTTAATGTAGGTATATTTAATTCCAAGGTTTATGATTTTGTTTAGACTAGTCTATAACCACGAGTCATTAAGAAACTGTTTAATACGTATTCAAGGAATTCTATATAAGGAATACAATTTTGAAAGCTTATTAGATATTTTAAAGGGAGATTTTCTATGTAAGGGCAAACTTCATTATCTGTAGATTGTATTTATAAATTATACTAATTCAAAGCATTTTGACTCCCATCAAGAAACTGTGATATGTGAAATGTGTTTGACAGGAATTGGGATGGAGAAAATCAGCAAAAGAACATTTTTACATGAGAAAATAGAACAAAGTTTGTAAATGGGAAATTTGTGCATGAAATTATATTTAATGAAAACCAACTTCAGTGGCCTGTAGGATGACTTGAAATAGGCAAAGACCTAGAACGGAGAGAAACCTAGGGGCTCCAGGGTGGCTCAGTTGGTCGAGCCTCTGACTTGGTTCAGGTCATGATCTCATGTCTGGTGAGTTCAAACCCCACATGGGGCTCTCTCCTGACAGCTCAGAGCCTGGAGCCTGCTTTGGATGCTGTGTCTCCCTCTCTCTCTCTGCCCTTCCCCCAGTCTCTCTCTCTCTCTCTCTCTCTCTCTCTCTCTCTGTCTCCCTCAGAAATAAATAAATGTAAAAAAATAAAAAAACAAAGAAACAAAAAAACTGAGAGATACCTGTAGAGACTACTAGAGCAATCCAGATATAGGATTGTAAAGATGACTACCATGACGTAGATATGTAAATAATGGATAATATTTAACTACATAATTGAAAATAATTGTAGGAAAATTATTTTGTTCAGAGGAATTAATGACAAACAAAAATTTCATGAGTAATTTTCAAGGTATTAAGTTTGTGTATTTGTGTGTGTGGTTTTATTTTTGTTTTGTTTTCTTTTTCTTTTTTAAACTCAGTGCAGAGGAATTTTTTTAACATTTATTTATTTATTTTGAGAGAGAGAGCATGCACATGTAAGTGGAGGAAGGGCAGAGAGAGAGGGAGAGGGAGAATCCCAAGCAGGCTCCACACTGATAGTGAAGAGCCTGTTGTGGGGCTTGATCTCAGGAACTGTGAGATCATGACTCGAGACGAAATCAAGAGTCCCGTGTGTAACCTATTGAGCCACCCAGGTGCCCCTTGTTTTGTTTTTCAATGGCTAAAAGGTAAAAGAGCAATTCTAGTCATTCAGGAAAACAATGAATCTTGTTTTTACTTGTTAAATTGCTGTTATTGGTGGAATTGCCACATAGATGATTCAGGGAAGAGAGTGTTTTGGGAAATGTACATGTAAATATCCGTGTATAGTAATTGAAACTCAGTGTTTGCCTATGTATTCACCAAATAACAGATATAACATATGGAAAAGGCAGAATTTTAAAGGGTATCAAAGTTAAAAATTGTCACGAAGAACTGAGTTAAAGGAAGTAATAGAGCTATTAGCGGAGACACAGAAGAATGGGGCCCAAAGGCAGTGAAAAATGAGTTTAAAGAAGATAAGTCTAATTAATGGTTAAATACAGCCAAGAGAGGAATAATTGGATTTGGCTCCTCAAAAGTCTCTAGAACTTTAGAACTCTTTTATTTGAGGGAGAAACTGAAAGGCAGATTTTAATAAAACAAAGAGAATTCAGTAGATGTGTAAATGAAGTAGAATTGGTTATGAAGTAGAATTGGTTACGCATGAACTTACAAATAAATATAGTATCAAGTATAACAAAACCTAATCTAACAACTCATATCTACAAAACCTGGGAATTTTCCTTGAAGGCATATGTTCAGTTTGGTGTTCACTTTTATTCATATCCTAAGCTTTTACAATTTAAAATTTTTCTTTATATACCCAAATTTTATATAGAACTGAAGAAAATACATTTCTTGCAGGTACAAAATTGGAAATGGCGTCCCCAGAACCGAAGGGCCTTGTCCCCTTCACCAGGGAGTCTCTTGAACTTATGAAACAGCATATTGCTAAAAAACACAATGAGGAACAAAGAGAAGATTTAAAGCCAAACACTGACTTGGAAGTTGGAAAAGAGCTTCCATTTGTTTATGGGAATCTTCCTCAAGGAATGGTGTCGGAGCCTTTGGAAGATGTGGACCCCTACTACAAGAATAAAAATGTAAGGATTAATTGAAGTTATCATGACTGCATTTTCATTATTTTTTTCAGATATGCAAAAAATATAATTGAGATAGTATAAAAAAAGAATGAAGAATTCCTGTCTTATCCCCAGAATGACTTGAAGAATCTACTAAATAATTGCACAATCCAAGGCCAAGCACAAAAATGATAAAAATAAGAGTAATTATGCTTAGTAAAGGCAGAAAGCAGTGTGGGCTGACAAAGCTGGAAGAGTCTTCCTCAAGAAAGTAGAATTTGTGTTACAACTTAGAGAACACTTCAAATTTTCACAATGCAAAGGGAAAATCTTGCTATTAATTGGAATGAGAAGAGGCAGGGTGGTAATATAACTAGACCCTTGTTGCAAGTTGTGGGGAATAAAATGAGGTAATGAAGATGTCAACATGGATTTAATGTGGTGGCCAAAGGCTGATGTGATGAATGCAATGTTTAAGTAAGCTTAATATGAATATTTCTAAATTTACATGGAAGAGATAGGCTCAGAAAGATGATATAGAAAAGAGAGTAAACCAGGCCTTCAGTCACAGGGCCTGGATTATAGGAGCGTCTCAGAGGAGGGGAAAAGGTAACAAACCTGAGAAGAAATATCAGGATTTGAAGACAGACTAATAATACCAAGATTTCCAGCCTGGAATAAGGGTGGTGCTACTAACAAAATTGAAACAACTCTAAAAAGACCAAGTTTGGGAGATATGAGGATTAGCCCTATTGTGGACAAATGTAATTTGATTTTCTTGTAAAGCATTTAGTGATAATTACCAAATGGGCAAAATGGAATTGAACCAAAGGCTCTAGATGAAAGGCAAAGTGATGATTTTGCATAACTATAACTCTTTGAAGTATTTGGCACCACAGAAGAGTATTGGCATTTTACAGTGTAAATGTATAGAGTAAAAAGACTCCAGTATCTCTGGTAGCTTCCATGGGTGTTATGCAGCATTAGCTATAAAACACCTGTAAAATCCTCAGTACATTTTAGTGAAAATCTTAAGTCCTCATCTCAATTATCTCTGCTTTTACTTTTGCTATGCATAAGACCTAACAGTTGATAAAACATAATAACCTTAGAAGTGACTCTAATATACCAGAGTTCTGAGTTCTTTGTAGTGTATACAGATATGGTAGGCAAATCTAAGTTTGTTATTGAAGACAAAACCAAGGGTTTTTAAAAATAAAACAAGCCAAAAATTGTAAGGTAGTTTACTATAAAAAGTAGTATTATTAATGATGATGCAAAATCATTAAATGTGAATTATATTGTTTATTTTGTTAAGGGGGGCATACCAATAAATAATTCTAAAATTAAATAATTTCAGCACTTAAACTTTATCGAGAATAATTGCTATATCTGGAATTTACTCATTACTTCACAATAACATAAACTAGTTGATGGCACATATATTACCTCTTGTATGAAGTTTGAGATTGTTCTAATAAATAACAGAAAGCACATTTTAAATAATCAGATTTTTCTTGGCCCTTTTATTTTTCTCTTTGCATTTCAAATGGAAAGAGGGAAAATAACTACAATACAGACATCCACAGATTGTATATTAGGGAAGTATTTTATTGAGGAGAAGTAGCAGTTTGGTTTCCATTTAGAACATGTATTCATAAACTATCAATGAATATACATATTTATATTCACTAATATATTTATATATATACACAAGTGTAAATACCAATATACAGTCACCATAGATACCTCTAATAGATAATTATGTCATATATAATTCTATAGTATATAATAGACTGTATTTTATATATATCAGGTAGTATATTATATTGTTCATATTGCATTGTATACTATATTATATATTATGTTATAGTATAATCTAATAATATTCAATATATATGATGTATTTTTACTCACACCATAATAAATGAATTTTCCAAATGAATATGTATATATAATAAAAGTGTATATGTGTATGTGTGTATATATAGACTTACATGCAAAGACATACATACGTAGGTAGATACTTTCACTGTGTCTCTATAATATATAATAATATAATATAGATACACATATGTACACATGTATACATATATAACTCATTTTTAGGATGTTTCTAATCTTTCATAATTTTTGGATTTAATGTTTCTATATTCCGATACATTTATCTTACATAATGTAACTTTCTGTTTTAGGTATGTTTATGTCAATGATAACATACAAGCGGTTTTTATACCATAGATAATTACTAGTGATTAATAAAATATTTCAGTGAATTGGGTCGTCTTTACTGTTGTAATCCCATACCTTATTTTCTCTGAAATAAAATTAACCTTTTTTATATTCATTAAATTCTGATTTCTTTAATTGCATTCTCATGAGCCATCAGGATATCGATTTCTTCCTTTTACACCATTTGACAGGAAAACTTGAGGCTTTGAGTGTGGCACATGGCTTTCTTAAGTAGAACACTGGCAAAAGAAAAAGTGGTATATAAACCTAAATATCAATGAAAATGTTTTTAAAAATTAGCCTTTCCATTTGATTTAGTCTCTAAAAGGATATCATAATATAAGAAAAGTGTTAACTGTTAGAATTCATGACTGAAAGGATCATTAGCAATATGCTGTGTAATGGATGAGATTATAGTTCCTAGTTGATGTTCTTTTTTGTTTTACAGACTTTCATAGTATTAAATAAAAAAAGAACAATCTTCAGATTCAGTGCCACTTGGTGTACATTTTCTCCTTTCAGTTTAACTAGAAGAACAACTATTAAGATTTTGGTTCATCCATATCCTTTTCTATTGGCTTTAGACTGTACTAATATCAGATGCAACTATTCTAGTCAAATATCACTGCAGTACTTTTCTCTTATGAATTAATATCTCATTTTGGGTCATATTGGAATCTGGATTGTAACTGCACTAAGTGTTCCATATTTGAGAATACATTTAAAATATATTTTCTAGCACACCCAACAGTAGTGAATATTAACAAATCTTAATCCTCCTGTTTTTCAATATGAATAGTATACTTTTTGACATTTAAGAAGCTATTTTATCTAATGTATATACATATAAGCAAATTATAGAGACATATATTTCCGATATTATTTTTTATCCATTATTCCTTGACTGTAACCTACCTTTTTCCGACTGTTCATATTAATTAGTGTCCTGATTGACTGCATATTTATGCCCATGACTGAGTTGCCAAAATGGGGCCCAGCATTACAGTAAGTCATATAATTTTATTATACATTATCTCATATACAATTATATTTTATATTTAACATATTGTATTACAGTATGTTATATACTATATATTTAACATTTCATAATTTACTATTTATATTTCATATATAATATTATAACATTCATTGTACATAATATTTGTACATACAGCACAATTAGCAAATTAGTAAAAACACATATGTCAATTAAACAATTTTAATGTTTTGCTGATGAGAATAGTTTGGGATGTGAATAGTGTGGCTTTCGTTGGACTACAGTGATGGAAAGACCCATTAAAATTTCTAGAGAAGAAGCCTTTCTTGGTGCTACCTCTCAAACTTTAATTGTATTCTTAAAACTAACTGATTTTGGAAGGTAAATATAAAACTGATTCACCACAGAAATTCTTATATATGCACATAATAAAATTAGTTATTTCATACTCCATTATAATTCAGTTAATTATTGTGGGATTTCCAATATGGAATGAATTTGATACTTTTTATTTTCATTATTTTCCAAAATATGTATCAAGACTATAACCCTAGCTAGGGCTAGGGCTTGTTGAAAAGATTGATAGTCAAATTTCATGGTTAATGCTGTAAGACATAGCCCACCATAAAAGCCCTAACTAAAGCCCTACCCTATGGTTCAATGGGCTTATGCTTTTTTGTTACCTGGTTGGTTGGTAGATTGGTTGGTTGGTTGGTTGATTGGTTGACAAATAGTTATCACAGACATAGTATTGGAGCTGGCAATGTATTATTTTCACTTTCAATGTCTATCTGAAAATTTTTCTTCAGGAATACTTTGCTTGGAATTTACACATTTGAAATACTTATAAAACTCATTGCAAGAGGCATCTGGGTAGAACCTTTTTATTTCTTTGGTGATCCATGGAACTGGCTCGATTTCAGTGTAACTTTGTTTGAGTGAGTATTTCTTTAAATTGCAAACATCTTAATAACTTGCTAAGCAAGTACTTTTCATGAAGAAACATTGCGATTGACCAAATTTTCTGCTTGTAAAATTTCTGTGAACAAAAATATTTCATAAATTATAACCATAATGCATTCTCTCAGGCAGGTCCAACTGAACTAGACCTCAGAATATGCAATGAAAATGGAAGGAATGGGATATTATCTGTGTTTTCTATCTGAAACAAAAACAACAGAGGTTGAATTTTGGAACTTTAAGTGATTATTTTCAGTGAGCAGAAAATCTCTTGGAGACTTATGAGACAATCCTAACAAATTTGATTTTATCTCCAACCTACATTTTATTTAGCTACATTGCTTGAGACCAATAAACATACTAGATATCAGAATAAGGTATTTTAAACACACATACACACACACTTCCAAGAGTGTTACATTAAGTTCTAATGGTTGACATGAATACTTGTTTTTCAGTGCTTTTGTTTAGTGTGTTCTGTTTTATGGCTAAGGAAATGATGACTGGCATCAAACTCCTATTAAAAATAACCTTAATATTCTATTTTTACATTTGGGGTTGACTTTTTTAAAGAAACAAAAAGCATATAATCAATGTTTGCCATGTTGTAAGCAATAAAAAAAATAGTAACTAATATCACTGAAATTATTATCACTAGTACTTCTATTACTGCTATTATTTCTGCTATTGCCATTGCTGGTAGCTAATACTTAGCCCCATGTGCCAGGTGCTGTGCTATGCATTTCACATCATTCGCCTAGTTAATCCCCACAAAAAGTCTTCGAATTAGGAAGTATTATTATCCCCACTTTACTTTTGAGGAAACTGAGGCAAGAAAGAATCAGTAATTTTTCCATGTCACACAGCTAGTAAGTTGGGAGCCTGGATTTCTACACAAAGGACTCTGGCAACAGTCTGTGCCCTTAATCACTATATACCCTCCCTGCCTTCTGCTGTCATCAACACCATTATCACCATCGTCATCACCATCATGATCATCAAAACCCTAAGTGTTTAAAGTAAATCTCATTACTTAAAAAGCTATAGATTTTTCTTATTTCTAACCACCTTTCACTGACTAGATAACAAAATATTTATGAACATAATATAGAGTATTTGGTATGGAATTATGACTACTCACAGTGTCAATGGTTTATAAACTGTCACAATTTGTTTGTGGTGTAGTATTTACCTGGCTATCTCGCACTGTAGCAATCTTTTTCTTCCAATCAATAATATAAGTATTTGCAAAATAAAACAGTGAGAGCAAGGAAAATGTTTGCATATGTGCTTTAAAAAATAACTTTTAAATAGTAAAAGTAAAAAGTAAAAAGCCAAACATAAGCAATATAAACTCAACATGACTTCTAAATAACTCTAACTTAATTCCACAGGCATGTAACAAGGTACTTACCTCTAAACTTCATTCCAATATTTCGAATTACAAGAAATTTGAGAATTTTGAAAATTATTCCTTTAAACCAAGGTAAGAAATGGCATTTAGTCCTTGTCTTTATTTTGATTTATGTACTCCCCTGTATTAATTTGTACTCTCCTGTCATTGCTTGAAGAAATACTAAATTGACCAGTGTTTTGTCTTTAAAATCATGAATTATCTGATCTAGAAGTTTACTTCAGCCACTCCAGGAAAGGTAAAAAAAAAAATCACATTTATTTGAGTTGGGTTCAGTACTTATGATAACAAAATATAGACATTAATCAAAATATATTATTTTCTACTTATTTATTCTTGCATCTTAAATATTCTTACATCTTATAAAACTGTCCTTATACTTCTGAGAGAGATAGAAATCTATACAGATATCTAATCTGCTTTCTTTTCCACACTACATCTAAAAATGAGTTGAAATGAACAAAGTAATATAAAATAAGATAAATTCCATTTGGCTCGGAGTGCTTGGATAGGATGCATTCCACATGCCACAGAGTTCAAGGAGGTTCTGCTGAATAAGTAGAGCTGTGACCACGTTGATGGAAGATGCTGAGGACTAATTTACAGCTCCCATTTCTAAAGATCTCCTAGAGAAGTCCACCTACACCTTCTAATTTGTGTTAAGAATGAATAAAAACAATCAGCTAGGAACAGCTCCACTCAGTGTTGTTGGCCACTGAGTCAGAAGTCTGAAACAGGTGGACCAATAAACACAGAAGCAAATGTCATAATACCAAAAAATATATCTACAGATAATTTTTGTCCACTGCAAAACCATCAATAAGGCCAGATATATGTGTACAATGTACTTGGAGTCCAGGCAGGGAAAAACAGCAAGAAGATTGAAGAATGTGGTGATGGGTGGTGTATAGCCCTGTGGATAAATTAAAACATTGATTTATGCACATTAAATGGCTGAATTATATGATTTATGAATTCTAGCACAATAAAGCTATTTAAGAAAAATGGCCTATGAGCATGGCAAATTCATCAAACCCGGGAAACAAGTTGCAGTGAGAGTTGCCCTGGTAGGAATTCCCACAATTCAAGCTCCCTTATGACTTTCCGCAAATTGCTAGAACATAAAATTGCATCACCTGAGTCTTCATCTTAGGCTCAGGATTAAAGATTATAGAACAAATCAGGTGAATCCAAGCTAATACAAGAAGAACATACTCACTGGAGTTAGAAACACATAGGCTGATAAAAACTGCTCATTTTTTCAAGGGAGAAAATAATCCAGGTGCATAAGCAATACAGTGTATGAAAGTATTTTGCAATACAAAACGAGAAATATACTATTTAAGAGAATGAAAATAATCTTCTTTTTTCTTTAAAAAATATGCTCTAAGGAATAGGGGCTAGCATAAGAAATCATCTTTTTTTGTAGGCCTTCAGAAGAAAACCTAGACTCTGGAAAAGTCTCTACTTATGTCTTCTGCCCATTTCTCCCCTGGATTATTTGTTTTTTGGATGTTGAGAAGCTTTTTATCTTTTGCACAGTGAAGGAAACAATCAACAAAACTAAAAGGCAACTGATGAAATGGGAGAAAATATTTGCAAATGACATATCAGATAAAGGGTTAGTATCCAAAATCTATAAAAAACTTATCAAACTCAACACACCAAAACCAGACAATCCAGTGAAGAATTGGGCAGAAGACATGAATAGATAGATACTTTTCCAAAGAGTCTAGGTTTTCTTCTGAAGCACTACAAGAAAGATGATTTCT